AGGGGTTTTACTTCGTAAAGACAATAATAACCGTGTATTGTATAAAAGATAGACAACCTAAGTAATAATAATACCGGTTGTGATTTTTTTCATTTGTTATTTATATCTCTTGATATTCAGGTGATAGGACTGGTAAACTTTATACAGACGTTCAGTCTACTGCCAGTCATTTTGCTTATGTCCTTTTTGTTTTGGTTTCTTTGTTGCGATATTTGTTTTTTGTTTGATGTGAATGGATGCATTTCAAGAGCGATTCAAGATTCCATTTATTGTCATATATAAGCAAAGTACATGAAATTCGCTTTCCAGAGCGAGGCACACACAAAAATATACACACAGATAAAATATATATATCTGGTGAATACTTTGCTAAATAGATGACTAACTTATATGTACTTAAAACTAAATTTAGCTACTGTATTCATGTGCATTTAAAATATGTGTGAGTATTGTATTTTGTATTGTTTGGAGACTACTGTACTGTACATTGCACATAAACAAACTTAGTTCCTCCTTGGATTTACCCTTCTCTACTTTGTTGAAATGTTTGAGGAAATAAATATATTATTAGAGTCGTAGAAAATACAGTAAAGGTATTAAAAGCATAATAGGATATTGTATTTTACTGAATGCAAGCCAAAAGGGGACTACTCTACAAAATCCAACAAAAATTAGAGGGTGGGTTTTTGTAATCCAACAATAGTTTTACGTATCATCCGTGTCCATTTTAGTTAAGAGTTGTTAGTGTAATCTTTCCTTAAGTCTGTTTGATCTTTGATGTTTTATCTTCTTATTAATCACTCTGCCCGCCAAACACGGAGATTTCTGAGTTTGGTAACGCAGCGCTTGACTGCCAAACACAGAGATCTCGGTGTTTCAAGTTTTTTTTTACGGAATCTGATAGATGATGTAATTACCGACATGTATTAATAATTTGAACACTATATTCGGTCTGGATCGTAAGTATCTACCTATAATTGTTTGTTTTACGTTGAGTGTAGCGGTATATGATGTACTTTCACAAATTTGCGATTATCTCAGCTTTGTTGTGCGAAATTGCGTAAATCTCCAAAAGTGAGTCATTTTCATTTTACTGTTAGGGGTCACAGATTGGGATTAGAATAATGTGTGTGGTACCGTTGTAAAGCTAAGATGTTTGTAGTTCTTGTAGTATTCAATCTGATCACATACCACTCTCAACGAGCATTGTAAAAGTGTTAAAATTCTCTGAAAGGTCTGGCAGTGGCAGATACTATTTTTTCAAACCCCTGGCGGTCAGAGTGTTAATAATAGAAATAAGAAGAATATTCCAATTCTTCAGGAGATTTAATAGGAATAAAACAGAATAACAGTGTTTGTCTTGGATTGGGAAGCAGCTAATTCATATTCTTGACAGCAATTTGACCTCTGAAAGGTCATTGTTTGTCAAAAAACAAGGGCCTAAAACGACTGAAAAGCGGAGTTTCCTTTTTCGTTCTGCCGGGTAAAATCAATTACTTTAGGCGACGTTTGTAAACTAACCGACATGTACCAACGTCCGCATGTCGCGCTAGCCTTATCCTACTCTAGGCCTAGACTAGCTAGGATGGTATAGGCCTAGCCTTGAAGGGACGAAGGTCCCAATGAAAAACAACGTCGCTCCTTGATAGCTAACATTGTCTATTTAACATCACAATAATTCATTATTAGACCTATAGTTGTTTTTTGAATTGTACCTCCACAAATCTCAACCGATACCTGCACAACTCGAGTAACGTCTCGTATCTATTGTCATGACGTCATGGCTCGCTGGCTCACACTATTGCGATGTCTCGCACTTGTGATCAAATAACACGCTGGCTCGCACTTTGGCAACATTCTTTGGCAGTCAACTCGCCCCTAGAAAACCCACCCTTGGAAACTTGCCCCATAAAAAAATGTACACTTCCTAGACCATGCAGTCTTCAAAATAAAAATTGTAACATTTGGTAATCAACTACATTTTCCACATACATAGACATTTTTGAAACTTTATTAAAAAAACCTAAACGATAATTCACCACTATAGACACTTTTTTTTTTTTTTTGAAAAATTACAACTTTGTTACCCAATGAGAAGTGTTCTAATATAGACAGTGGGTCTATATTATTATTATATATCTATATTGTCTCATATTTGTTATATTTTTATTATTCATTATTTTCACTTGACTCGCATAAATAATTGAGTTCGAAGAACATTTATATGCAGTTGTACTTCGCAGCACTTCACTTGCAATTTGCAATTTTTAGTTCCTATGCATGTAATGCAATAGGAACTATTGTAATCACTCTGTCACATTTCTTTTGTTTTTTATTGTGTGTAGTATGTGTGTGCGTATGTGTGTAGACATTTATGCAAATGCGCATGCGTCAAAGAAAAGTTTTCCGACATTTTGTTTTACATCGCGATGCGAAGTTCGATGTGGATTTTCTGCAGAGTTCAGTCAGGGCTCACGCTAACCGATCGGCAAGTCGGCATGCATGAAACTATTTTGGTTTTACGGCAAAAAAATCAAATGCTGTGGCATAGGTATTTTGAAGAAGGCCTAAAATAAAACAGAAAGGTTTTAATACTTGCTGAAATACATCGTTTTTTCATTTAGATCTCCATTTTTCACTAACTCCATGCGACGTTTATTTCTGTTGTATGAGTAGTCCATAGAGCTATTAAATTATAAATATATTATAAATATATATATAATATATATATTATATATATAATATATATTATATATACATTATATATATATATATAGATTATATATATAATATATATATATATATATATTACGTATATATACGTATATACACGTATATGTATGTATACGTCTATGTATATACACGTGTATGTATACGTATGTATATACGTATAATATACATGCGTATGTATGTACACGCGTATATATGTACACGTGCGCGTATATAATACATGTATACGTATATATATATGTGTATATGTATGTGTATATATATACACGTATATATAGGGCCTATATACTTTTTAAGTCATGTATCATGCATAGGAACGTTGACGCCTGCAAGGCTCTGGTTAGTATATTAATATTATGATAGACTGAAATACTGTACTTTGGTACAAATTTGAAGTGAGCCCTCTATTGTTCATTGTTGCATCAACTTTCTTATTCTGAGAGACTGAAATTGTTTTGTGGGGCTGTTCCATCCAGGGTTTGATGAAGGCCGAGCTTCATAAACTGAGTGATTCACTATGTATTATCATACCTCCATGGTATTATAAATAGTTTTTCAGTGAAATTCTTGATTGATTCATTTCTTTAGCTTCTCCTTGCCCATAAAAATTATTGTTATAGACTTATGATTAATGATTTTACTGAAACGACTCTTGCAAATGAGTTGTTGCTGAAAATTCATCTTCAAAGTAGTTGCCGGTTAAGTCTGCTGGAAACCTGCTTTGAATATGACAACTTAGGTAAAAGTTCAAGGTTTAATTGCATCTGTGGGAATTTTCTAAAGGCCAGTAGATATGTTATGATTTATTATACAGTAGTAAGATTGCTATGTTGTTTAAATGGTGGTGTGCTTATGATACATGGCAGCTTTCTGCTCGCCAATGGTCAGTGACCCCCAAAATATATCTGGGTGTGGTGTACCTGAGATGTAGTTTGGATTTCAGACTTGCACTGCAGCATACATTAAAGTATAAAAATTATAAAAAGTTGATTAAATTATTAGAAGATATTAAATGTTGCATGATTATTAATGTTAAATGTTATGAAAGTTAAAGAAGCTATTTCTATGGTAGTTTTTGCCATCTTCATTGTACTGGTAAAAGTAGGATAAATGAACTTTAAAAATTAATTTGTGATTTAACATTAACAGGGTAAGAGAGCCCCCTATGATTCAATCTTGAATACTGGTTAGCCCAAGAGTAGCCAGTTCCTCTAGAAATCAGGTCGTCTATAATAAGGTTACCAAGTACACGAAGTATGACCTTTGACATTTTCTCTTATTAGGGGTTCAATGCAAAATGTGCAAACTACTCTATCCGTTACTATCTCATCTGATAGCTCTTTGATTTATCCCTTGCTTTTCTTCTCTCCCTTTTTTATTTGTTTGCCCTATGACTTGACTACCGGTATGTGTTTAAAATAAAACCTACAGCACATCTGGTAGATGGTAGATCATTAAGGTGGACAGTATCTTGACTGTTGATTGAACAGGAATGGAATTCAAGAACATTATCTTCATTAGAAATTGTTAAATTAAATGTGGATGCATGTGTCATATAGAATATTATCCCATGTTCTATGCAATGAGTTTGTTTGAAGGCATTTCATTATACCAAACTCCTAAAGTATCATCGCCATGCTTTCAGTTTGTTAGACATCACCATTCACATCAGTTATTGTCATGGGCATTAGTGTATCACATGAAGTAAATGTAGGTCTTTTTTTATTTGTGTCATCCATATTTTCAGCAGAGTTTATGCCCTTTTACTTTCTAAAATGAAGTAGAATATTGTATATTAATATTTGTACAGAAATTTATTTTTGAATCTTGTGGTCGATGTATGTACTTTTTAACTGCTAATTACAAAATTAACAATTTAAAATTCAGTTTTACCTTTCAGTTTTTTATATTTTCTATTGTAAAGTACCTCTTGAAACTATTCAACGATAATTACGTCAGGCTCTAGAAAGAATGTTGTTCGTACTGCTGTATGTTAAAAAGATCAAATCAATAATTTTTTTTTTGATGAGTTAAATTTTTGAAATAACAGTCTGTATCTGAAAACAAGCTTTTTACAACTGCTAATTTTACATCTTAAAATAGAGGTAGGTGGCCTATTAGACATGTATTATTAAGTAGTATTATTAGCATGATTATAAGCTGTCTTCTTAGGTTTTTCTAAATTATTGGTAATTCATAGTGTTTAAAGAAGGAAACAATTCTTCAAAACCCTTCTAAATAATTTAATTTAATTTTTTTTTTCTCAATAGATTCTAACAACTTAATATTCCACGGTTTTCTCAGAGAGAGGCACACCAACACAGCCCGAAGCTGGATACTTCAAGTCTCAATCCCTCATCCCCTGGGGGGGATGAGCCAATGGATGCCGCTTTCAGTGTTCAAAGCCCGCAGATGATGGAAATTCTACAAACAGAGGAAAACCCCAGCATGGCAGGGATCTCCAATGTGGCCTACATCCAACCAGGGCAGATAGTGCAACCAGAACTGCAGCTACAGACGTCAGGCTTTCATTTGGGATCTATTCAACAATTGACAACAATTAGGGCGTTACAAGCTGGTACTGTGCCACTGACGTATACAACATCTGCCATCCCAACATTACAGACTGACCTCGGTGGTCAGCAGATTCTGATTCTGCAGCAGCCTATTCAAGAGATTGTGCCGCAGATCAAGATTGAAGATCAGCAACAGCTTCAGCAACAGCTGCAACAACAGCAACAGCAATTACAGCTACTACAGCAACAGCAGCAGCAACAGCAGCCGCAACAGCAACAACTACAGCAACAACAACTACAGCAACAACAACTACAGCAACAACAACTACAGCAACAACAACTACAGCAGCAACAACTACAGCAACAACTACAGCAACAATTAGACTCTTTACAAGTGATAGAAGAAACTCCACTTGGAGCAGATTTAGAGAAGAAAAAAGATGGTAAGTTGAAACTCTGTTTTTTAGATGAAGAATATCGAGAATTGTTCTATCGAGAAATCTTTTTTTCTTCGCAAAAATGTTATTAATATTGTAACATGACATTACAACCTTTGTCCAAGCATGGTTTTTAAAAACTATATTTTTTTTTTCGATTTGTACTTTCCTAGTTTGTTTACTGTTGTATTATTTGTGTTTAATGCATGCAAGCATTTTCCAATTGGGACCAGTATTAAAAATATTATTGTATTCATCTTATTTTAACCATGTAAATCCTGGCACTCATTGTACTTGACGGTCGTCGGCCAACGCAATTCTACGTGGAATGCCACGACACGCGTAACGGATCGTTTTCAACGGCGATCCCCTGCAGACTGCCACCAACAATCAGCAGCTGGCGTCACATTGTCTAGCGCTAAGCAAGCAGAGTTGGAATTATTGTACGACAGTTGTACAATTAAAAGGTTGTTCATTGAAAGTTATAATTAAACAAAATTAATAACAATAATTACAAGTTGTTAAATGTTATTTTTGCTTATTCCATTTTAACTTGTATTGTGTTTATAGAGTTTTTGACTAAATTTAATTTGTCTGTGTTATCAATCGATATTCTTTCTGATTTAACAATCAAGCGTCAGGCTCAGTTTCGTTGGGTTTTTGGCAAAATAGATGATGAATGATCGAATACTTCTGGCATTTATCCTATGAATGCAGGTTCCTGACACTCAACGCTTATGTTTGTAAGAACTAAGTACACACTCCTGCCATTTTTGTGTCTATTGCCTTCTCATGGCATAGCCAATGTGTTATGCTTTGGCAGTTGACTCCGTAAGAGCGAGTACTGTAAATCCGTTGGAGGTGCATGATGGGTACTGCTACAGTACCATGGGATAGGGGGCGTCCTATTGGAGAACGAATGGAGCTTGAAAATCGAACGTGCGTCATGGAGGTATTTTAAATGACGCCTTCTAGAATGTGGTGGTAGTTTTCGAGATACAGTAATGTACAGTAATAGGCAGTAGACACATACTTCCGCTGGAAGCTGATTTTTCAATTAATGTGGTAATAGAAGTTTATTGCGCTATATTCACCAGATAGCAGACTGGATGGAGCATCTAGGGTGCTAGTTTGTGTGCTGAACCATGATGAATCTTGGATTCCTAGTTCAGTTTCTCACTGTTCTTGTGTCGTATGTTCATAATAACTTTGAAAAGAAATATTTAATGCAATTGAATAATACATATGGATCGAAAGAGGATCTGAAGTTCACCTGGATGGATTATTTATTTACAGTATTTTATTTTGTGTCAGTTTAGAAATCATTATTGGTGTTTACGGTTCTGTAAAAGTACATATGGACTGAACCAATTTTACTTCATATCAAATGCATACTGCAGTTAAAACAATGTATTATCTGTTCTAATTAATTAATTTACTTAACAAATAATTTTTGCACAGTGGGTACAATAGCATGTTGTTGTGACTGGAAGTATTTTACGTTAGTATTTCCTGAATTGTGGAAAATGGCACCACAAGCAGTTGACTGAGATGGATATGAGCATTGTATTGTAGAATAACACTTTAACTAGTTTCTTTTTAGATAATGACAAAGCAAACAGCGGTCACACAATCTTCACCTACTTGCTATCTAGAGTAGTAAATTTAATAAATGTGACACAACATTGACTTAGGTGTTAAGACAACTGAGATATATATAGTCTTAGCATCGGCGCAGGTTCCTGACACTCAACGCTTATGGTTTGTAAGAACCAAGTTCTTGTAAATGAAGACCTAATACCCTGAGAGCCCAATCAGACTTATATATCGCCCCAGGGACTGCCTTAACTATGGCCACCTCAAAACGACCATTCTCTTCGCGGTTAGTACAGTGTATGTTGGCTCAATGTCGCACTGCGAACATTTACACTTGCTTCCTTGTGTCTGGTTTTTGCGTGAAATGTTATGGTTCATGTCCATACAAAACTCTGCACAATGACCGTTTAAATTTTACAAATTTAATGCCTTTTTACCTGAACTTACCCGGCCTCTCAATTATTATTAATAGAAACATTCTTTCTATAAGTATTGTTATTGTTATTATTACCATGAGAAAGGATGCTATTTTCACATTTATAGTTGTTTTAAACAATTTTTTCTTGTAACTTGTTTATTATTTGGTGGTTTGACAGCGTGTGAATGTATAGTAACAACCATCTACTGTACAGTAAGTAACCTTGTTGGTAGTCATTGTCTGATGAAGATCTGTTGATAAGGGATCGAAACATCACGAACAGTATATATATTTAATGGTTTACTTACAAGAATCTATTCGAATATATACACTCTGCTTTGTATAAATACCCCCTTGAAAAAACAACCAATCAGAACCTTATTTTGAATAAATGCTGCCCTCGAATAAATGCACTGGGGCGTTTATTTTGACTGTAAGTAGAACTAATGGAAGCAAAATCATTCTCCACGCATTCTATTAATGTTCTACTCTAGTAGAATTACATTTTTTTAACCTGGTTGGGATCATTGACACATTTTGACGTGAAATTAAGAGGCATATATACGTAAACCATTAAAAAAAACAAGCACTTCCATCGAATAAACGCCCCCTGGACAACCCTCCTCAACAATCTCAAGGGCGTCCATCAAATAAATACAGTATTTTATTAGTACTAAATCCATTTAACTCCTTAAATCAAGAGAGGCAAAGGGATATATATTTTTTTTTTTGAATAATTGACTCATTTTGAGAATTTAGTTTATATTATAAAAAAAATTAGTAACTCTTCACAAAATCTAAATTTTTCAATAATGTTTATGATCAGTCTCATTCATTGCTATACCCTTTTGCCAAATCACACTTAGATGCTTCAACACACAATACAACTAAAACTAAATATAAGAAGATGTAAAGCAACTAGCCAAATTAAATAGAGTACTTAATTGAAATCAGCATATTATAGTTGGATATCTTAGTTTATATTTGCGGATACAGGGAGGTGGATGCAGACGATGCGATCATGCTTCCCTCCCCCAGTAAGATTTTTTAATTTACTGTATGTGCAATTCCTGGGCACCTAGAGGTCCCCATTGTGAAAATGTTCTCGTCTCAGCCCCAACCGTGGTGGGGCTGAGGTGGTGTGGACTCTCGCACACTTCCTACCGCCAAATCCAGCATCCATTTCAGATTCTTTTGCTACCTTTTTTGAAAAGTATATTGAAAACAATGTGCAGTTTAAACTGTATACATTGGATCCAAACCAAAATTTGGACTGCGTTCCCAATGCGCTGAACGCCTACGTCCATATTCTTATGCACTGATTCAATTTTCTGATTGGTTCGGTAGGCCTTCCGGTCTGAAGATTTGGATTTGGTGTGATTGCAGCTTGACAGTGCCCTGTGTGTTATGAAAATACCGACTATACATTTAGACATTAGCTTATGAAGTGCCCCATAGTCTATTCATGGTGAGAGTAACCTTCAACCAATGAGAAGAGAGGAAATAGTCTGATAAATTGACCGGGATTACGGAATAGATTAGACCCACTTCCCGGCTAATTGTCAGCTTTTGACAGTTGATTGTTTTTAACTTGCAAATACTTACTAATGTTACTATTAGGCCTACTTTTGGTTTATGTTCACTGATCTATTTTAGAATGGTTTGCATTGTAAAGATTCTGGTTTTCTTAAACTTTATACTTGTGGGATGTTAGTGTGTATCTGAGGGTAGGTATGAATGCATTGATCGATAGAGATTTAGTTTAAATTCTTGTCGATACAAACTAGTGGAAATCCATATGGCTTTATAAAATTAGCGTATAAATAACAGTATTTAAATTTTTAAAAAACTTTTTGTAAGTTAACCTAATGTATTTATCTAACATGAGTCAATATGTGATTCCTGATGGTGACATAATTAACGTTGAAATGTTGAATCCCTAAATGATGGCATGCATTTCGATACTTGGAGTATGTATTATACTATCTTATCTGAGTGGTGGTAGATCACGTTAACATAAGGAGGAACAAAAATAACCCGCAATATTTGAGTAGTACCATTGGTCTGTATCTGTTATGTCTGTTTCAGAATGTTGAAGTAAGTTTAAGATGAATAACTTGGTGGTAGTTGGTAGGCCCTGGAAGAAAAGGCTTTCCCGCACATGTTCTGGGATTAAGCCTTTGAGATTATGTGAAGCTGTAGGGATTATAGCAGTAACCACTATTCTTGCATTATGATCCATTTTATAAAGAATCTGTTAATTATTAGTGTATCGTACTTAAGCGTGGATTAAACACAGATTATAGGTCAGAGTCTCGTCTCCCTTACATTTAATGACTGTTGGTCATATATACTGGTCCTTGAGTTTTAACTACTACTTCCTTAATTATGAATATTTATTATGCATTTTCTAGTTATGAATATTCATAAGCTACTGATATAGGAAGGTATGATTTCCTAGTTCTGACCTGGTGTTCCTGCTGCACCTGATTGATAAGTGGAGTTACCGATGAAGATGTTTGATTAAAGAACTGTCCTATCACCAATGACAGAATAGCTGATATTTCTTATTGATTTGGAATATAACTATTGTGGACCATCCATGGAAGTATCTTCTGATAATTGACAGTTGATATTATAATTGATAGATCAATTGATTGACAGATTTGGATTAACATTATTTTTGTGCTGATCATTGGTGGAGTAGTAAGACCATCTGTTGAAAGGTGTGACATAAGAATCTCTGTTAGCTGCCAGAAAAATTTGTGAAGCCTCACCCCGTCTAGAAAGAGAGTCTGAACACTACCAAAGTAGTTTTTTAAAAACCAACAAAGCATCTCAAGCCACTACCAAATTCAAACCAGGTAGGCTTAGTGATATAACAGTTGCAGTATTTCCGTAGTGCCCTTTGTATTTAACCCTGGTAGGCTTAGAGGCTACGCTGTAGTTGGAATACTACCTGGTTAAATTTGAAATAAGCTGATTCATAAAG